TTTCACTGTACTAGGCAAAGCTTATCAGAATTGCTTCAGCTTCCAGTATCCTAATTTTTATTAAAAAAATACTCTCTTGTTAAAATGCAAGTGAATGACTTTGTGTTTTGTGTTTTCAGTTTCACTCCAGTCTAGTCCTTCAGTTGAAGTCACAGAATTTTCCCCAGTTCCCTGCAGGTCTTGCAATAATTCCCAACTTCATCTCATCCACAAATCACATGTGACTTAGACGGTGACCTCAACCTATGTCACTGAAACATGAAACAGGACGTGTCCTTAGGCTGATCTCTCTTCGTTTCCATCCTGAAAATAATTTAAAATTTACTGCAATCTCTTTTTCCACCAGCTTAAATCCATCTTTCAATTCTCATGTTAATCTATTTCAACCTAAGTATTTTTAGAGCCTTATGTCAAGCACTACTTCAATTTGAGTAAACTAAATTAATTACATTAATTTTCTAAAAAGTGACTGTTCCAAACCACCCAGGATGAGGGGCAGAACTAAAGGGCAAGAAAAAACATACTATATGCTATCATACCCATGTTTGAACTTCCAAGACTTCTGTTCACAATCTGAAGTAAGCTTTTTCTTGTGGTTAAACTAAGAAGTCTGAAGTTGATCACAACTTTCTTTTTTTTAAAAATACATTGCTTGTTATAACAATCAGCCCTTCTCTGGTTGTTACTTGTCAGAATTACAAAAATCCTGACTATATTAAGAAGTGTTAAATCTAAAGAAGCCCATTTTACAGATGGGTTAACTGAGACAAAGAAAAGTTGACAATTGCACCAACTGCTTAGCTGGAGGTCTCCAAATTCCCAGAGATTAGTTTGTTGGGCTCCGACTTGGAATATGGTCCTGAATAGTTAATTTCCATACACTCTTCTTAGGATATTGTAGTCATACTGCTGTCAAAGAGCCTCTGAAGCTCAAAAGGAAAGTACAATCACTTCCTTCTTCTTTATAGCACCTACCAGCTAAAACCCAGATCGGATAATCTTTGCAAATTACCTGAGAATGTCTAAACATGTGCACTATCACTCATACTTAGCATTGTATTCAAATAAAGCAACCTCCCCTCTAGCTATGGGAGCACCACAGATTAAACACAGACACTGAAAATGGGGAGGCAAATCACAACAGGAAGGAAAGCACAAAATCAGTAGACAGCATTTCAAGGCAAACATGGATGTCTGTAGTTCTCTGCAGATACCATGCAGTTACTTACGCAAACTCCCAAGTTTTCTAAAAGGGCCACATCAAGTCAATTTTAATTATTTGATAAATATGACGTATTTAACAAGCACAGATTCCAAGGATGAGAGGATCTGCTCCTCTCCAATTTCAGAATGCTGTCAACTTGTATTTTTTTTGCTTCCCTTTTAGAGCTAGACTTAGTCTCTGCTATAATTTCATCAACTAGGAAAACTTTCTTCTGTGCTACAACTCACATTTTTCCCAGTCTGCATCAAAAAAAAAAAAAAGTATATTTCTTTTCTTGTCATTCTAGTGCTCCTCTCCACCTCTCCTATCTTCCTGTAATCTTCAGGGTTTTTTTCACATCTCTTTCAAGGTTCTAAAGAAATCAGACAACAAGTCTAGCCTTATTCCAATCACTGTCCTGCTCCATTCCCATGTGGGATTTTAAATATTTCTTCTATTTTCTTCTGCAATCATTTCTGCACCCCTTCTCATTCTGTGGAGAATGTGATTTCTTTTTCTCTCCTCTCTTTAAAGTTTGGTTTCAATACTCTTATTTACAGGTTTTCTATTCTGAGATCATTTAGGGCATTACAACATTTATGATCAGAGTGCTCCAATACTCTTGTGTAAGCCAAAGAAAGCTCTGCTGGCAGCATTGATACTCTTTTCACTGACAGTGAAATATCTAATGCAAATTCATATTTTCTCTTCTCTTGTTACTGCAGCTGTGCACTGAAAGGTGGTGATGCAGTAGGAAAAAAGTATTGCTACTTTTCCCAACAAACTTGGTTAAAACTGCAACATTTAAAAAGAGGTACTCTGAGGTGATTGTGAACAGTTGCTGTCAGTATCAGGTTGCACTGGTGGTTTAGAAACTTGGCATCAAAAACCAGGTTTTCCTAATCCAGATACCCCGGCTCAGGCTCCAATTCCATAAACTGCACAACAAAGGACATTTTAAAAGAAAGCAAGAATTATACTTTATAAGCATAGGCACTTTCCAATCTCAATCCAAACATTACCACAAAGCCTTTACAATAACAGAAACCATATTTGTTCTTTAGTAAATCTAACTTCCTCTAAATTTGTGTTCTCATTCATTTTGTACCTAGCTCCTGTTTTACTGCTGACTTGAAAAAGGAGAAAATCAAACACGATTCATTTGGAATACCACACAATTAAATGCTAGCTTTTGGTCCAATGCTAGCACATTTAAAACTACATTTTACATTAAGAACAACATTTGTCAGCAGTATCTATATATTTGTACCTGATGTTTTCTGAATACTTGTAAACAAGGTAGTAATTAAGATTTTTGGAAGGCATTCCTATAGCTCACCATTGAATTTACATGCATTATATTATACATGCACAGACATATGTCTGCACACTCACCACCTCCACCTCCCAAATTCTATCTCAGTAAGTTTCTCTGTTGTTAATTTTTCACAGGTCAATATTATATAGTCTCAAAAACTACAATTACAATCACATACTGGAATATGATCATACTTAAGTCTGTGCTTCTGAAACTTACAAAGGACATCATTAAAAATTCCACCTAAAATTACTTCAACAATTTGAGAACACTGCCTCCAGTAACAGTAAATACAATTCATGCATATTTGAAAAAATCTCCACTATTTCATAAAGGATCACCTGCTCCACAAGACACTTTACAGACTTTTTCAGGAATCCTGAAGTGTAATATGGAACTTTTCCTGGAGAGAAGTACAAAGAACTGCAGAAACATAAAGTAATACAAAAGGCCTTTTAAGTAACAAACATTGAACAGATTTACAAAAATTCTAGCTTACATGAGCAGCAAAACTGAACATGGAATATCTGACAGATATTCCTCTTTCTCCTTTTTTAAGTAAGACTGAGAAGATTAAGAACTCATAATTCAAAAGAGAATGGCCAACAAGCATGTAGGTGGCAATCACATTGAACAAGGGAGCTGCTGACTGCAGTATGGAACAAAATCAGCACTCTCCTTTATTTAACACTGTACTTGTATGTTATGGGAATCAGTTGAGAGAAGCTATGGGTTGATACTTTATCACTCAGAGCAACTGTAAAATGAATCAGTCAACACTTAAAAGCTCACACTATATTTTACAATTTTAAATTCCAGTGCCTAGGACAAATTCCAATTTGGAATAACTACAGCCTAACATTTTCAAATGTGTACACTTTTCGAACAGTTCTACAACACTGGTTTGTACTTTTGGGCTATCTGCTGTATTTAACACTGTCCCAGAGGCTATACTTAATGGAATGGAAATGTTTTGCTATAATTTACTTTTGGCATCAGTTTGGATGATAAATATTCAGTCTGTTACATCAAACATTAGCAGCTTAAAGATGGAATTTCAAACATGGTTTCATGAACTTTTATAAAACTTCTCAACTGAAAAATAAATGATCAGAGCAAAAGTATTTTATGCAAAATAGAACTCAATATGTTAAGTCAAGTATTGTTGTCTGAAGGTTGGTATTCGAATATGTTAAAATTTTACATGATATTTTATACAGTATATCTTCTAAGCATTAATTTATTTTCAGAAAGAATGACCTGATAGTTTCTTTAAGAAATTCTAAAATTTTTGTACTAGCATTTTCATCTCCATTCCCCTCAGGAACACTTACTTTACTTCTTTCGAAGCCGAAGAACGTTGATAGATTTGTAAATTATCATTCAAGAAAACTGCTTATGACTTTTACATTGCTTATTGCTTTTTTACTGATGATTTCCTGATTTCCTAGAGGAATCAAGAGGTTCAGTATAATCATGACCAACAGACAATACTTTACACGCTTTAAGAAATACTTAAATTTTCATTTTCAATCTTCTTAGTTATGTACTTCCATTTCACATCACTGAATCACAAAAAAAAAATCGATTTTCATTTAAAAGCCTCAAATTAAATCATAGCTTTCTTATTTTTATATGTAATAAAAAAATCTTTGGGACTTTTGTATTATTTTATAAATAGAAACAGGAAAACTGAATTTCCTCCTACAAATGCTGGGGACTGATGCTGGTATTAGAAAATAGTAGTATGATCCTCAAGTGGAAGCAACTTCTGATTTTTTTTATAGCAATGTTGAATGGATTTCATAGCAATGTAATAGTGTAAAAGAATAATTATATACATAGAATAATTTGCAGTAATTCAGTTTACTACTGACATGAGGGATCTATCTTGCATGAAGCACTGTACAAAACACAGAGTTATTGCTCAGATCTGTAGAATTACTGTCAAAAAAGTTTCAGATGGTTTTATTCTAAGTTTCCCAAAACAATTAAAATCTAACTCAATGCGCTGTTCAGATTAGCATGCTATACCAGATCAGAAAGTAGCACAAAAAATACCATGTTTTATCTGTTAAATCTCAGTCAACTGAAGTGCTTAAGCATACATTTACAAGTTTCATATTACCCCTTTCAAATCTGCTGACAAAGATTCTACAAGGATACAACCAGCTAAACTTTAATGAGTACTTATGTTTGATTTTCTTTTCCTCTTCTTTTTGCTTTGAATTTAAGACATATTTTAGTCACTGCAAAGCAGTACAGCTATAAAAATGTAAATTTGATCCAGTAGCTTGGAAAGAAAGAGATAAAATGTCATTTAAATTATAACATAAATCAGACATGTTTTATGTTGTACTCAATTATTATGTCATGCCAGTTAAAAGACTACTTATTCTTTCTTTTAAACAGCATGGAGGGATTTTTAACAATCAAGAGCTCTATAATTGCAAGGGCAGATTTCATAAAGACTCAAAATCCAGTTTCCAAGATATTTTAATTAAATCCCAAGTCCAAAAAGTCTCCACAACAAAGCAGACAGGAAAAATATTAGTTGAAAATACGAAACTCTATGACACTAAGACCAGAGACAAACCTATACTGCTTTATTGGCTGAAGAACAAGCTTTTTTTTCAGCCTCTTAAAAAGATGGAACAGTTATGAAGTAAATCTCCCTAAAAGTTCATGTTTAGAATCTCTGCCTCCAGTTTCAGGATCACTGCTGATAAATATTAGTACTTTCCCTTAATTTCCCTTACATATACAAAATTGTAAAGTGTTCACACAGAAGGAGCAAGAACCAATAATGAAGAATACATGTTGCAATCCATGCAGCTATAGGGGATTAGGTTGGAACACCATCAAAATTACTCTTTCTGAAGTAACAAGAGATGTTTTTTCCAGTACATTTTAAAATGAGACGCAAAGGTCCTCAAGTCTCCCTCAACCTTGACTTATGTCTCAGGTAATACAAATACCGAAATAATTCATATACAGAATAAAGTTCTTCCTACTGTGGATCTGTCAGCCTTCTCACATTCTCTCATTTTAGGAGGAAAGCACTAATCTTAGTTACCATTTTAAAGCTATTATACTTATTAAATAATTGTTTGGAATAATAAAATAAGAGTAAGAATTTTAACAGAACATCCTAATTCTCAAGTCTTTTACAGTCAGCATTTTCCCATTCTGATAATCTAAATACTGCAAGTATTCTAACTTTTGCACGGTGTTCGTAGTACTTTCTTCAGTATTTTGCTTACAACAAGCCACTGCATTCATGTTTCTAGCTCCACTGTCTGTAAGATGAAAACAGAGATTCCTACTGTACCTTTAATTGCTAATCTGACAATGAAAAGGGGTTTCATTGTCCTGGGTGATGGAATTGAGAATTTCTGAGTAACTCCCCTACCCTAACAGGTACAGTAATAAGATGTTAGTTTTTTAGGCAAAAGACGAATCTGTTGAATAAAGGCTTCATTCTCTGCCTGTAATTAGTAACTTGAGGGCCTTCTGTAGATTCTGCACAGCAGTGCTCACATCTTCATATTGCAAAGCACTGCCAGCATATTTGCAATACTTTTGAGCTCTGGCAAAGTCCTCTGGAGTCAAGCGGACTTCTCCTGCAAAAACATAAGTATTACAAAGTTACTATAAAGGAAATCTGACTTAGGCTTCCTTTCTTATGATTTTTATGTTAGACTTATACTTGTGGTAATATTATGAAAACCAGGCTAATATTTGTGGTAGTACTACAAAGCCCAAGCTATGTAATTTCTTCTGTTCTCTTTTCTTTCCATTTATATAATGCTGAACTTCTTTACTTCTGGCATTTGAAAAATATGAGCACCTTTCTAACCACTGGTATTTGTATGACCTAGTGTCTTTCAAAAGTCAAGACCTTTGAGAAAGATGTGCTCTTCATCAAAGGCAGCAGAGGAGAGCTTTTAAACAACCTGTAAGAAACAAGGGCAGTGCTCTTTGTGTTTACAGTATAAATACTCTGCTCTCTTCTTCAGGAATAATACATTTGAGTTAGAAACTGTTCCTTCTTAACTGGATAACTTTTCAAAATGTAGAATTCCTCACCAGCATGTTTTCACACAGTTTATATTTCTGTTTTTCCAAATAATTCTTATGTTTCTAATTTTATGTAAGATGACTGGAAACAAGATTGATGTCATTAAATGTGCCCATTTTTGTAATACTGGAGAACACTAGCAAAAAATATTCTCATAATATAGTATAAACCATCTGTTACTTATTAACCAGAATATTTTCTTAACATAAGCTAAAATATTGGGAATTCTGGAACGCTCAAACACATGCGTTCAGTCTTCAAGAAAGCATAGTAAGGACTTATGCCCTAACTGGTAGAAGATTTTATATATGAATAGCATCACTGATGTGTGCATAAAATAAAGCACAGTTATGTTACTGTACCTCCTTCCACCCATAAATTCACTAGGAGTTTTAAGGCTAATCCCATGCCACTCCAATAACCAATGGACAAATTATAAAACCTTTACTAAGGTTCTTTCAGAACAATTTAACTTGTAAATGATGGGTTTTTTTGGACATGGATAACTAATTATATGAAACACTAAAGATTATGTCTATATTTAATAATTTTGAACACAGTATTTTATTAGCAGTGAACAGATTACACAGATTAAGAGAAAATGCATTTTTAAATGCACCATAGATTTTATATAAAAATCGATTAAACAAAGATTTAGCTCTCTGAGTACAACATTTTAAGCAATGACATGAATATAGTTAAACTCATTTTTATGGCACAACTTCAGTTAGCTGGATCCTTTCTTTCAGAAGAGGACTGTTGTTAGCAATACTGTGAGAATGTTTACTAAAGAATCTCAGTTCTTATCGAAAAGTGTCTATTGTATTTGCTTTTCCTTCCCCCAATCTTATTATTTAAGAACAGCTTTTGAACAAATAAAATGAAAAACCTGGGAATATTAAAAACTAGACTGGTCTGCTGGTTTTCAAAACAACCCTACTCCAATAAAAAGCAGAAAGGTAAGTGCTCTTAAACTTAATTTATCAATTTTTAAAACATACTCTAAAACTCTACTTATCTTCCCTTCAATAAATAAATATAAGCATTGAGGGACATAAAAACTTAGTAGGCTCATTATAACTGCAATGTGTATTAGTTTACTGCTGAATAAATGAAGCCACATTACATCTCTTAAAATACCTATACATGTGAGTAAATACACGTGAGGGAGTGCATAAACACACGCACACAGTTCAGTTATTTTGTAGCATGCATAAAGTTACAGAGTAGAAGCAGCTGGGGTCAATCTGTGACCACATTACTGAACATCTTTAAGGAATTATAAAAGACCAGTTCCCCTCAAAGTGGCTTTATGCTATGATGCCAAAAGAAACTACAAAATCATTCTTTAAAAACTGGCCAAGGCATCAGTCCAGTATTCAACTAATTTATTGGAAGTAAGCCTAAATTCACCCGTCTAATCTTATTTTTACAGTACGAGCTCTATTAATGTTTTGCTGGCATAAAGCCTTATTTATTATGAAATCTACTTCAGATGCTATTATGACATAACTTGAGGGAAAAAAGTTAACAGTTTTAAATTTATAAACCAAAGTTTACACAGTAAGAGTGTTGATCTTTTGATGTGCTTAGTAGCCTGAGCTCCTATTGAAATCAGCACCTCACAATGGACAAACAAAATAGAAATAAACCAGTTCTGTGTTCTTAAGTTTTCAAAATAATGTGAAACTTAATTGTAATGACTGCCTTACATCAAAGGTATAAACACAGAAGTGAGTTACCAACTTTAACTTACATATTCTAAGGATTAAGTAGTTTCGCAGGAAAGGACCTGGGGGTCCTGGTGGACACCAATTTGTCCAAGAGTCAACAGTCTGCCCTTGCAGTGAAGAGAGACAACAGCATCCTGCGCTGGATTACGAAGAGTGTTGCCAGCAGGTTGAGGGAGGTGATCCTGTCCCTTGCAGCCCTAGTGAGGCTGCATCTGGAGTGCTGTGTCCAGTTCTGGGCTCCTCAGTGCAACAAAGAGTGACTGACATCCTGGTGGTAAGTCCAGTGAAGGGCCACAAAGATGATTAAGGGAATGAAGCACCTCTCATATGGGAAGTGGCTGAGAGAGCTGGGACCATTCAGCCTAGAGAAGAGAGGGCTCAGGGGAATCTTATTAATGTATATAAATACCTGAAGGGGGACCATACAGAGGATAGAGCCAGGCTCTTTTCACTGGTGCCTAGTGACAAGACCAGAGGTGATGGGCATAAACTGAAACACAGGAGGGTTGTGTCTGAACATCAGGAAACAGTTTTTCTTGTGAGGGTAACCAAGCTCTGGGACAGGCTGCCCAGAGGGGTCGCAAAGTGTCTGTCCTTGGAGAAATGCAAAAGCTGCCTTTTGTATTAAGTGACATTTTTTCTCAAACTTCCTTCAGCGCAGCAAATCGTACTACAGAGAGAGTGCATGGGCAGGGGGAGACACAAAGGACATGGTCCTGAGTAACTGGTTTTACAGGACCCTTCCTTTAGCAGAGGGGTTGAACCACACCACCTCCTGAAGTCCCTTCCAACCTGAAGTATCCTATGATTCTGAGCTCTAAAACAACACCAAGATGGGAAAAGTTTAGTGTATTTATCCTGAAACAAACTTGCTTCTGTGTCTGCAATTACTAGCACAGTAGTTATATTACTGAAACATGAAAGGCATATGGAAGCCAAAGCATGATTCTTTTTATTTAAGAAGAACACAAAGTGAAAATGCTTTGACTAAAACTGCTGAAAATCGTGTTGGGAAAAAAGCAGTTTTAGAATGAAAGTGGTGTGTATTTTACATGATATATCTGCTTCTCCCTAGTGTCCTTTGCTGGACATCTGAAAAATCAGATGTTTTTCCTTTTTATGATGCCCAAATATAAGGCAGTTAATTTAAGAATATTTCAATCACACAAACTGGTGCATAAAAACAGTGATGGCAAAGGTAACAAATGGTTTTTGAAACAAGATGCTCTTTTTCTCCATTAAAGCATTTGAAATATTTGAAAGAATTTCTTTTTAAGATCATAAAAGCACGTTCAATGTCAAATTATTATTTCTACATTATTATACACACAACTAGAATGGACAAATGCTTTTTCTATACTATGACACTTGTGGAAGGGAGCATATGGCAGTGTAAGAAGATCTTATAAAAACTGTTTAGCACAACTATGAATGCATGTAGTGTTAGCATAATCTAGGGGTAATAAATTTTTTAAGAAAACTACACCAGACAAGTGCACACACACACATGCACAAAGCTGCTGTGTAGCTCTACACTCTGTAGTAAAATACATTAACCAGTAATTAACTGCAAAAGTTTTGACACTTCAGAAGTCATGTTAATCTCTGAAACCTGCTCCCACAGGACAGGACAACTATTCAAAGACTCATACTGACTCAAAATCAAAGAATACTGTTCCTTTAACTTAATTTTCTTTTGATAAAATATTCAACTCCTCTCCACCAAAAGTTTTTCTCCCATCATAGCATTAATCAAATTACTTCTCCCATGTTATGGGAAGGAAAGAAAATATATCATTTATTCTAAAGTTTTACATTTGATCTTACTACCAGAAGGAGTCTTGCAGGAATATGTGGAATATCCTGTTTGGCTATGTCTATACTGGCACATTCAACAGTGCCAAAGAACGTGTCTCAGCACTCAAACCTGACTGTCTACAGTGTCAACCTGCTGGAACAGGCTCCAGTATGGTTTTGGCCCAAGCTAACTAGCACTTTCCCAAACAATTCCTGGACATGACTTGTGGTCAGAGCAGGCTACAGACCGTTCAATACGAGCAGTCTTCACAAGCTACCTTGTTTAGAAAGTTTAAAAATTTAATAGTATGGATGTGAGTGGTTCTGTGCCAGCAGTTCTCCATGCCAAATATTTATAGACACGTATAATTTGTTAGTATAGACAGAGACACTGTGTCTAATCATGAAGCAGGCATACTTTGCACTGTGCTAGCTCTATGGATCTATTGGAGGGCAACGTTGACTTCTTCCCATGCAAAGGAAACTTCAGTTCCATGGGAATGGTACCTACCTTAATATGGAGCAAGGATCTAGCCCAAATATATATATTGCAACTAGGAGCTGGGGGGGACTCCTGAGTCCCAGAGTTTAGTACATTTCTTGAGATACAGGCATTTCTCAATCTACTTATGGGTCAGAGAACAAGGCTACTGTGTAACAGAGTACTGTTGGCATCAAGGGGACTCCTCAGCAGCATGAGAAGAATGGTATCTGCTGTTACTCTTACATGTATAGCTGAGGGGAGGATGCTTTGGGTAATGACCAGGCACGCACAATAGGACAGAGATAGCCACAGACAAACGCTTTCCATTGCTCTCAAGCTTTTTAATTCTACACATACAAACAAAACTGTCACTGCATCTCTGCTTACTGACACATGCCCTATGCCCTCCTGAACTCCTACATAACTGAAAACGTATTTTCTAAACTTTTAGAACTGAGGATCTGTATGACCCGTATCACCTCTTCCAGCGCACTTCTGCAAAACTCTCTCATAAGAATGTAACTTTGAGCTGTTCCAAGACCCAAACTTGTAGTGACACAACAGATGTGCACAGGAGGAATGCAGGCATACAAATACTCAGGTTAGGTCAAGTTAAAGATTTATCATGGTGCTTAGCAAGGGTCTTAATCTCTTAATTACACAATATTACTTACTACGCATTCTCACAAACACACTTAATTCCTTTTTATTTATGTATTTATAAAACCAGGTTATCACAGGTAAGCGGTTAGAGGTAGCAATGCACTGATAGCATTCAGATATTGAATAATATAAATATCTATTTCACGGATAGAAAAATTCTCAGAAACCAGTTAATTTGTCCAAATGTACATGAGTGTTCAAATTAGAATTATAGGATGACTCCAGCTTTATTGTCAGTCACTACTTTTTCACTGGTTTCCCTAAGGTTAGCATTTATGTGCACACTTCAAAGCATGGTATATGCAAGTAGACATAAAAATACACATGATATTGGTTATTAGTGATTTTAACATCAAAGGCAGATGGCATCTTAGAAGATAAAAGCCTTGATTAAATGGTACATCAAAATGACATAATTAGCAATACCTTATAAATTATTTCATTTCACATGGGTACTACTTGTAGTCAACAAGCACACATAACAATTATGCTGCACCAAAACCACCACTGGAATGTTGCAATTATTTAATGAAGTGAATATATAACTTACATATTGACCCTGTAGAATAAATTTTAAGTAAAGGGAATGTGTATTAATGACCAAAAATATAATTTAGCAAGGCCATTGGGAATATAGGCTGTGCTAAGTATATCAGAACCTCATCTGAGAAGTAAAAACATAAATAATAAAAAGCCTTACACAATGGTAGCTCATGGGTTCAAAACAGTCAGACAGCACTAACCATACATTGCAACAAAGCTTTCAGAAACTATTAAACTCTTAGCAAAAAAATGCCTAGGTGATGTCAATTCTTTTTAAAATTTTGGAATTAGTAGCATTCAGATAACAATGACAGTATTTCTCAAACTTCTTCCTGCAGTGCAGGGGAGACAAAAAGGACAAAGTATGCCCACGTACAAACAATACAAATGCCACCAGCTTACCTCCAGACTGAGCACTGTAAAGGGAAGGATCGACTAGAGGAATATTCTGAGGAGCAGGTTGAATGGTGTTACTTGTCACTCCTGCAAATCAATGCAAAAAAGATGGACTTGGGTTATTTTTACTCATAGGCTTTAAAGTAAACAAACAAAATGGAACAGGTACACTTAATGATTTTTAAATTCAGCAGTTGATAGCTTACTAATTCTGAAAATGTGTAACAAATAATTTTAAAGCCCTCACTTCATACTATGAAAGTTTTATAAAATTATACAGAAGAATATACAGGCTGTCATCCATTTTATCAGTATAGGATTTTACAGAAATTTAATTTCAAGCATCAAAAAGATAGGAAAACACTACTCCAAGAGACTCCCTAGAGCATTGAGGAAAACCTGCTAAAGAAAAGTGAGTTAACTTTGATGTTTGAAACTTAAATTCTACATTTTAATATCAGAGACAATCTCTATTATTTATTTTTAAAGCCTCATGCCTGTCATCTAACACTTGCAAACTATCTCCTTCCTAATTACTTCAAAAACAATTGATGAAAATAAAAAAGCTAGCTAGATTTAAAAGAGAAATGGTGATTCTAGAAGAAACAGCACTTCATGCTGTGAAACATTCTTGTATGTGTTCCCATTTTAGACACACTCATTTGCCTAGATCCAAAAGTGTGTTTTTGCAATATGTCCAGTTCACAGCAGACTAACATAAAGTTATTTCTACAACATCTGCTATGTAGGAAGATGGTATAATCAGTTTTCTAAATTATCTGTTACTGCATGGAATGATTGATGGGGTTAAAACTACGTAATGCAATGAAATTCATGTATTCCAACAAGGTACATACTCCATAATTTTCAGATATGGTAAAAACAATACACTCTCCCTCCCAGACCCAAAAAACCACCACCTATCTGAAGGATTTTTCTTTGATAAAACTGAAAAAAGAGCATCCTGAACTCCTCATAGGTTGAAGCATTTTTAAAATGAGAAAGTAAAAGGAGGGACTGTGTGACAAAAACATGTTCGATAATATAAAAATGTATCTAAACAATAAATGATCATCAGGATTGAAATCAAACTTTTAATCTTATTAATCAATCATTATATTTTATGGTTATTATAAAAAGGTCCCTTGAGGTAAAAAAGTTGTATTCACCAATCCTTTAAGACAATTTTTTTTTTAATACTGCAACTGGGAAGGAACGTTGGACTTTTACAAACTTGGTTTTGGTCCAAAAATGGCACATAATAATAAGGATGTAGGAGGCAGTATGTTTAGCAGTAGGGATAAAATTCCCATTAATAATATTGTCTCAGGTCAATCACAGTAAAGTACTTGCACAGGAAAAGGAGCACAAACCAAAAGGAAGAAAAGTATGAATGGTACATCAGGCAATTGTGTTGTTGTAGCAATTTCAACATTATGTTGGATTTGCTCCCGCATAAAGAACGACAACCCATCTGCACAGAGAAAGCCAAATATGAAATGAAATAACACAATTTCGTCTATCAAGTGAAAGATACAAACAGCGCTTTATAGTATAGATGTTGCGATGCAACATCATTTTACTGGTTCTAGAGAAGACAAAAAATTCTGTCTGCAGGGATAGTAATTTTTTTAGTCCATAAATCTCTTCTGGCAAAGCGCTCCAAAATATGAATTACACATTTTAAAAAACATAAAAAAGTATACCCTATGGCATTTTTACAATATTATCTTATGAAGATGCTTTTGACACACAATACCTGTGTTAATCTACTTTATAGGTAATGGAAAGTGGCCTAGAGTTCATCTCTCAATAAAGGCATGGATTTTTTACGTGTGATTTGGACATACCTGTGTTATGAGGTACTTCAGCTGGAGTGTTGGCTGGTGCATGGGCACCTGGTGGTATATGTATGCCAGTGTAATTACTAGTTGGTGTGTTGTTAGCTTCATATGTAGATGATGATGCTGGTTGAGTTGTTCCACTATGGACAGAAGATGACCCCGCTTCTTCCTTTTCAACATCTGCTAAGATGACACAAAACAGGAATTACTGCAGCTGTTCTGTACAAACACTTGAAAACTCTGGCTTTCTTTAAAACCTCCTTTTGAATTTTTATTAGTAAAAAAACTGCCACCACAGTGTGGCATAAAAAATCAACCCAAGCCACCTACAATTGATTTGACAAAATAAAAAAGTAACATACCATACAATAAAGATCTAGAAACTCACATACTTTCAAAGATCTCTTCTGTTCAAATTGAAGGATCATTTCATTACTGGTCTGAACATAAGAAATCTTTCTCATTAGAACAATCCCTTATACATTCATGTACTGCATCCACCGTAGTTAAACAAGATGTACAAACATGCAGCAATCTATATTTTAATATATACATGAATCAGAATATGGAAAACTGTATTTGCCCTACAAACTCTTTGTAAAAAACTAGATAATCCTTTTACCCCATATCAAACCACGGATAAATAGCAAAAAACCAGGAACTTCGGGAAAGTAATACCAAACAAGAAAACTAAATGCAGCTTAGCTAAGTCATAACTGTATCTAGAACAGTTACAGTACATAATGTTCTAGAAAAACAATATATCCCATAGAATGTACAAAGAACATACATATTATTTTTCAATCTCATCATGTTCTTAAGGTTCTGGTCTAGTTTATTCAATGTCACTTTAAAGGCTAGTGATCAATTTATTATGCTAATGATCCAGTTAATTTAGAACATGGTTGATTTCTGCTCCTTCATTTGAATTCAGTTCAATTTAAAACAGTTAATTTTCTTTTGCTGTATATGTATTCTCCTGTATCAATAATGTCAGATGGAACAAGTACAGTTTTGGGAATTGCTTATTTAGCAGCCAGTTCTTGAAAGTGAAAAAAAAATATATAGGAGTACAAAACGTATATATGTGTAGAGCTAGAAAAAGATGTTCTTTATGAAATCCATACTGATCTTCAACTACACAAGATTATTATTGTTATTATGTTATTGGAACACTTATACTGCTTAATAATTAAACCACCTACTGTTAAAAATATTACTATTACAAATATAAGAATTTTTTCCCCTGTAAGACCCTCTTCCTCCCAGAAAAAACTTCAGGTGCCACCTTCACTAAACACCTTTTAAGTCACAATACTATTTACTAAAATAAAAGGCTATAAAGCAGAGTAAAATCAACAGTATTGTTGTTAGAACATTATTACTAGACTTTAATAAATACACTGTAGTTTTATTAAACTGTTTCTGACATAGGCAAACAAACATTTGGCAGACCTCTGGAAGACAAAGGGTATCTTAAGGAGCCAGATTTTTCCTTTCCTGTATTTTTTGCTAGTAATTCATACTGCAATATATACGCATGGAAATAAAATTAATGCCTGACAACTGTCAAAAAAGGAGAAGAAAACTGTTTATTTTTGAGCTTCAAAAGTAAACAATGAATGTCTTTTAAATAATATCGCAATGATAAGAATAAGTTCGAATGCTGTATGTTTCAGTGGTTTTGGTGATAACTTTAAAAAATCAGTTTCAGAAAAAAATAAATTTAACAAAAACACAGAGGTTTACTACACATAAGATGAATGAAATAGTTATGTACAACACTCATCATGCTGTCTGAAGGTAAGGCTGCCCAATATTACTTGTAACACTGCTACCAATTATTTATAGCTTTGTCAAATTGTAGCTATAAAGTTGGTTTCTCCAAGCTGGGTGTCTGCATGAAGCTAGGATTTCGGGAAAGTTGTTATAAAAATTACTAAGCCACTTTTAAGAATGAGGCAGTAAGAGTAAACATGCTTCCACTGTACTCAGTATCTCAACTAGGAAAAATTACCTGTAAATTCATGCCCAGACTTAAACCGTTAATGCATTTATTCCTTTATTCCGCCCCCTGAAGCTTCCTGTTGCCCTTATCTGCTTTGCCAGTCCCATTCTGATTTCTCTTTCTGTGCACTAGGACTTCATATCCCTGCAACCTCTTGCCCCATACTTTTGTCTCTCTTGCAGTAATTCCATCTTCTCTCCAAGACATTCTCACTTTCAGCTTCAAGTTTCTCACTGCACAGTTCAGGGTCTCTTGTCACTCCTGTAACAGTGCAATGCTGTAGGCAGCACTGGCCATGGAAAACATGAACTCAAAAAAGTCTGCCAATGTTAAAAACATCCAAAACAAGTGTTACCAATGCTGACTATCCTTAATTACAGTGTCTGCAAAAGGTGAATTCAATAAAGGCAATCTGCTTTTTAATCAGGTATATGTACCAAAAGATTAAGCTCAACTGTTTGATTTGCTCATTATGCAACTGGCCAGTGTTAAACTGTATTAAACGTAAAAGTAGTTTTGTTTAAATTAACTCTTCTTAAGTGTTTAAAGTGCCCAGATATCATCAAAGCATTGTAAGTATTCTTCCTGCAAAGCAAATATTTAAAAACTCTTTATCAAAGATTAAAGTATTAGAAACATTTTAAGATACGCACTCGCAGTATTTGTGAATAGTTTTAACAGTAGTGCCAAATAAAAGGATTTCACACTGCTGAAAAAGAACATTTAAGTCAACAAATGGTTTTTAAATTCTTCAGTTAGAACATCCATAACGTTACTAAAAAAAAAATGTTTTCCAGGGAATGGGAATGAACACTAAAAAAAATTAGAGAATTATTTTCTCATAAAGTAGTAGTAACCTAGAACTCAAAGTTCCTTGCAATTTGCTTAAAGATGCTGAAATACTAGGCTGTGAAACAGCGACACAATTGTTTTACATGTCGTTTCAGCTCCAGATGAGTTTCTTGTCTTGGAACCTCATCAGCCTTTGTGCTTGAATCCCAGCATAATGAATCCATAAGCTCTTCATATTTTCTGCAAAGCAACAGTATACCCACACCATCTGTTTGCATTTTTAAAATTATTATTTATTTATGGAAGGCAAGACTTTGTGAAATAAGACTGATATCCCTGGCCCCATAACCAACTATCCAAAGATAGTTTTGTACAAACAGAGGATTCTCAAGGCTTAATGGGACTTCCTTGTCTACTGTAAGGAAGCACCAATCATGACTTAACTTCAACAGTTTAGTGCACTAAATTTACGACTAAAAAAATTTTTATTTTTAAGGAGTCCAGACTTCTCCAATTCTATGGACTCCTATTTTTAATTAATTCAGAGATTTAAAAGGTATCAACTTTAATTTTAAAACGTTTTCTTTTTCTCATTCTGCTGCATTGTTTCTCTTTTGCTTGAGATGTTGCTATAAGATTCATAATGTAAGATTCTATTGGAACACTGATTTTTTAAAAAAAATATATATACATCCAATTTTTTTCCACAACATTGAGAAATAAACTCCAAAGTGCATCAACTTTTCATACAATGTTCTTTCTACTAGCTGGAACTAATAACGTTTTCTCAAATTCTGTAATATAAATGTAGACTACATATTACATATTGCAGTGTAAGCAATTACATTTCATTTATTTACTATGGCTATACTATAACCATTTAGAACTTTTAAATATTTCCATGTTTTTTCCATTAGTACAAAATCTTGTGGGATGACCTAGGGCAAATGCTAAGTAACCTTTATATGTACTTCAGGACTCGTATTCCAACTGCATTAATAAATTAAGCATGTTATTTTAAGGTTTCCATCGTGGCATCCTTACAAAAGTATCCATGAATCCAACAGCAGAACTGCATAAAGCATGCCTATGTTGCTGTAAAAACATCTCCAAGAGTTACAGTATGGTTTTCAAAAATCACAAAAAAACCCCCAACACTATGGAAAAAAATGGTAATTTGTCAAGCTTCAGAGACCTAGCTTCACTCTGTTTAAACAGACTTTTTCCACTTGCTAGGGAAGGAAGAAAATGAGCAAGCAGAAAGGAATGGGGAAGGTTCAGTCATACATTCAAACAATGCTGCTTTTCTTCTTATGATGCACAAAGTAAGAACTGAAACTCTTTTTTACTGATTCTTCTCATAAAAATTAATTTGGATAAAGGTTTTGTCTTGGTTGTGTAGAACATTATGGACACCTACACTGTGGAGTTAACTGTCAAAATAAATGTCAGAAAAGGTATTTTTCATTTCATTTCTCAGAAAACAAAAGTGTGAGAAATTATCTTTCTACATGAAATACAGTTCAACAACAATACAAAAAGATATTGCCAAATTACAGATCTTGCAGGCTCCCTAACAGTAAGGATGTTAAAATTTTGGTTCACTCAGCATTTGTGTCCCTTTTAAGTTGCATGTAGATATAACTTGGTAATGAGAGCAAGAGTCTTCACCAATTCACCTGTACTGAACTGCAGTGAGTACTAAGGATTTGAGTAAGGCCCTGAATTCTACTTTCACTTCTACAACAGTTTCTTTTGTGGCCTTGAGCAAGTCAGTTATCTTTGCATTTCACATTAATAAAATGAAGAGAGAACCCATTTGTTGCTGCTGAGGAATAATTAGCTTCTACACAAGTTGCACACACAGATTTTTAGCAAAAGTTTTGTAATATTTACTTAGAAATTCTATTTTTGCAGTTGTTTACAATTCACAGTTTGTTTCAGATAATCAGGTGAGCTTTACCACACTATGAGCCAGACCCCTAAAGAGAACTCATTTAAAGCTAAAAATATTTAATTAAGCTATTCATTACATTCAATATACCACAAGACTCTTCTCTCATATGTTCCATTTTTCATTAAATCATCTAACTGGTGTAATTTGACAAAGATGGGATGAAGTTTGCAGTGGGAGTTGCAACTTGCACTTTTAGAGGTGGCTACATAAGTTTTATGAACTTATGTATTAATATAGGTGATTGATATATTTATACTTGTGCGTGCATACGTACAAAGTCTCATAGACTAGGTCAGAAGAAAACTTCAAATGTTTAATGTTTTTAGTTTTTTCATTAGGTATGTGAAGAATGATACATAGAGGTTATTGTCATTGTGCAGAATTAGTCTATTTTAATCTGCATAGTGAAAATATCCATTCCAAAGACATCGTATTTCATAAGAGATTAACCTCTAAAATTCATATTCAATCTGTGCTGACTGAGGAGAAAAACAAAGAGACCTCTTATTAATAAAACTGATCACTATCAAAAGCAATTGGTTAAATGCAAAAAGAACTAAACATCCATAAAGCATTAAGCATAGAAAAACTGCAATAAAAGGAAAAGTAAATGGGTGAAAATATTTTCAAAGTTAGTTTAATAAAATACATACAATTTCTATTTTTATATATTTTAGAAATGAATAATTTTTGCATATCTTTTGCTTTTATCAATCACTGAAAAACATGATCAGTTTTCACACATAATAGTAATACTTTTTTCTGGCTTAGTAGTTTAACCAAAAAAGTTTGCACATGATTTCATCTGACTGCACAAAAACACGCACATATCTGTGAACTTTGCAGATCTCTACTTTAGAAGTAGGGTAACATCTATAAAGATTAGAAATAGAAATATGGCAACTCTGATTTGATTGTTTAGTTACTCTTAGTAAATATACACATAATAAAAAAAGAGGACAGAGCTGTCTTTCTCAGAAGAGATTAGGATGTGATCCTGTAAGAGAGAGTCTGCTTAGTATGTGTTCTGTTACTTTATAGAGAGGCTAGTTCATGTCTGCTCCAAGTGGTGTGTGTCTTTAAAAAGCTCTAAATGAGAAAGTTTTGAGTGTCCCTAACATTTCATACTGAAGATCCAGGCCCTTCAAATTAGGAGCAATTTAGACAGGTCTGAGTGTATTAAATAGAAGACAGTAAAAGTTGTAACTTAGGAGGTTTAAAACAGCCTGTTGTAATAAACATTCATTTTGGTTAAGTGGATGTGCTTGGAAATCCCCACTTTATCTAACAGTTACAGAGGATTCAAGGAATCCTGTACAGGAAGCTCAGGTAGCCAGAGGACCACAGGGAAAAACTGAAGACATGAGGAAAAGGTGGATGAGTGAGAAAGAAGCAGGAAATCCAATAGAAAAACAGCAGACCTGTTTTGAAACCCACAATACTGTACAGGGAGAAAGGGGTTGTCTCACAACCAGGTGTTTGCTTTGAAGCTGAATTCACTTATGATCAGTTCATTTTCAAATCCTATGTAACTTCTGAGAGAGGATAAACTGGCAAAGGGATCATAACTTTACAGAACAGATTTAAAAGAAGGAGCGTGGGTATTAATAAAGAAATACACAGTTCTGGCCCAAAGCTGACAATGCCTTCTTAGAGAGTAGCTGTATTCAAAATAATAATCTCTACTACAAAGAAAAAAAATATTTTATTAAATAAGTCAATCAAACAGTAAAGTCCAATAAAATTAACAGTAGGAGAAGTGGAAAAGAAAAAGCAGAAGGTGGCCCACTGTGAATGGAATATCAAATGGGGAAGCTTTGCTTCCTGTGGGGTGCTCCCTGAAGAACTGTGCATACCATCCATTTTGGTCTTGGCACAGCCCTCTGCTCTTTTGAAAATAAAATAAACACATACCAAAACTCTCTCCTTCCATTCCAATGGGGCCAGGCTGAGGAGTCTCTCCATTCTTTAAGCAGTTATGGATGTATGCTGCCTTCCACCTGGCGTACTTCCTGTGCTGTGCATTCTGGGGAAGGGAAAAGGCCAGACACTTTACACAGACATTTACTTCTGTGAATTTATGCATTCAAAACAGAAATATAAACATGTTTTCCACCTTGAGAGAAGATTAGAAAACTTGACTGCTTTCTCTTCTGTCATTTGACACCCCTTTAAAGACAAACAACATGTGTGAAATTAACAGGTGAAAAAAAAAATAAGATAACAGCTCTAACAGGATCTCAGCATGAAAGGAAAATGTGGAGATCTTCGATTAATGCAGCATGTCAGGAAAAGGAAATAAATATACCAAGACCATCTATTCATACCAGTATGAAATGCAGAGCACTGTGTAGTAATTACCGATGTGACATGATGATGAAAGTTGCCTATCTCCATAAACTTAAAATGACTATTCACTTTAGATTTAAATACCTGAAACTTAAAATGCGACTGATGCTGACCAGTAATATAAAATCTTTTCTAATTACATTATTTTAAAATTTAAAAATTTATTTAAAAGCATAATTACAGAAAGGCTGATGTAGATGCAGATTAATGTGATTTGTTTGGGATATTCTATGACATATAATATTTTGATTTCATATCTTCACAACATAGCTAAAATTCAGATGAAGGACCTTTTCTGCAAATTTTAACAAACTGCTATTGACAACTTTAATAGTACAGTTAATAGAAAAAATAACATATCTTTAAAAATAATTATTATATTGACAGTCAATATATTTTTTTGCCAACTCTCCTTTTCTGAAATGGTGTCAGTATGAAGCAATAGCAGTGAGAAGCAAAGTGGCTGCCTGCCTTTCTGATTCCATTTCCATGGTAACAGTTTGAAATTGAAAAAAATCAACATGATTTTTCATTATTTTCAGTTTCTGGAAAAAAGAAATTGAGGAAAAGCATTTCACCTGGGTTTTCATAAATTCTTCTTTTCAGAAAACATGAGTGATTGAAATAAATGCCAGAACCTTAAAAAATTTAAGATTTTCCATTTAATTTTTTAAAATATACTTTACTGTTCCCGGGTACAACCTTCAACATGTCAAAACATGAACTGAAGATTAGCCACTTTGTATTTCAACAGTTTCAACAGTTTATTTAACCCAGGAATTCTCAATTGTTGCAATAAATCTTAAACTGATTATGTAAATTAACTACTTTGTCAAAAGTTATATGAGAAATGACCAGTTCTGACAGTTTTGATGTAATATATATCAAGGAACAAGGCTGAATATAAACAGAGATGAGAAATTTAGAAGGATGAGTGGAATAAATTGGCCAAATCAACAGTGCAGATTGTGATAGCATGCTTCACATCAACATCACCACCTGCAAGGTACTGGTGAACTCAAATTTCCACACTAACAATCATAGGTAAAGTGGTTTGGAAACTGAGGTAGACTGATGTCTCTTTAGAAGTCCTGGTTGAAATTAAATCCAAAGTTTTTGAGAATTAATAAACTGACATTCAATACTGTACTTCACAAAGCCTATTGCACTGTCATCTAGAACAGGGTAGAGAGACACAATACAAAAGGTATCTCCAGCAAGCTCCCTTGCTCATATTTAATACATTGTATCCACCAGGACCCTTATGAAGCCCAAGAGAACGATACAGTCTTCATTTTTGCAAGTAAGATTTTCTTCAGAAAAAAAGCCTAGCCTTAAGACAGGTTTATTAAAACACATTCACTATACCTCAGAAGCAAAAAGTGCAACCGGAAAATCTGACTTTCTGCTAAATACTTTCTTTTAATAATAATTTCTGGTCAGTCAGTGTTACAGATTAAATTCTTTTATTATTAACAAACACACTAGGAGCCACAAAATGCAGAAATACTCATCCAGAGTACAGTACTTTTAGAAAATATTACTATGCAATATTTAACAGTCTGTACATCTCCCCTCTGCTCCAATACAGCAATTATTTATTGATAAAATGTGAAGATGCTGTTGTATCAGGTGTCTGTGCCCAGGTGCTGGCAACATGGGATGGCAGCAGTGGTGTCTGTGAGGAGAAGCCAGGGCTGCCCCACGTTGGATATAACTAGCTCCAGCAGACCCATTGTGGGACACAGCTGAGACCTTCAGCCAGGCTGGTGGTGCCCCAAGGAGTGCATATTTAAGAACGGGTCAAGCACCCCCCACACCCAAAATGCTGGATGGAGGAAGGAGAAGGGAACAAAGTGTCATGTCTGTCATGCATCCCAACTGCAAAAGTTATCATTCCAGAACTGAGAAGCAAAATTCTGTTGTGTTCAGTTTGTTTGTAATATGCACTGCTGTCCCTTTCTGGAAGACTACCGTATTGAATGAATGTTACTACTAAGGTTAATGAAAAGAACACTACTACCACACAGCTTCCTACTGACCTGATGAAAGCTGTGTCTTGTAAAACACATTTTCCAGAAAATCCTTTTGCCTACTTCTAATACTGAGATACAGAACATTCACTCTTAATTTTTGACACAATCCATTCATACTACCCAATAATCAACAACCGCCAATTAAAAAAATACATATTAAGTACAATACCCATTTTCTGATTCTAGGTGTCAAATATCTGCTTTCTATGCCTTCTGTTGTTGATTTAAAAGCCTTTTAGTAGTTGATAATACATATATATGAAGGCAATTACATGTTGAAAAACAGATGATCTGAATATAGGTGTCATACTATAAAACCAGGTGTCAGGCTGAGCTTACTTCCGGCCAACAAAAGCTTCTGCAAAAGCCTAAGATGGTCACATCATATTTGTCCATCATTCCTTCATGTGAAACTGGATGAAGACACTGTTGAAATGTTATGATGCTATACAGAAGTTTCCTGTATTTCTGGTACACTCTTTCTTATTGTCTTCACTGATTAAATAAAATGAGAGAATTCTGCTTCTTTCCAATTTCAAAGCATATCTGTCCTTTCAGCATCAGCAAAAAAACCCCCTGACACAGAGTAGTAAACATACCACTACTAGCACTCCACATCAACATTAATAAAAATTTCTTCCATCTACAAAGGAGGATTGCTTCAGGACCTCTGAGGAGTCACCAAATCAGTGCACTGACCTGTGTACTGGATTCCTACAGCCTAAGATGATTGTATTTTCAATCCAACTCAATATGCATTCACTCTCTGGCTCTAGAAAATGTTATTTGATACAGTAAAGGACGTCAGGGTGCAGAGTAGCCAGTTTTAAGAGAACACATGAAAGAGCAAACTTACTTGTGCCTCTTGATAAATGAAAATTTTAGATTGGTATAGTCTCAGGCAATAGATGATGCAGAACCTTAAAAGAACTCTTGGCCAAGCATTTCTCTTTAATATTTACACTTACATCCCATAGTATACAAGAAGCGCACCACTATTAAGACCATTTTTTTACCCTCCTTCCAATATTTACAAATGAAAGGAGCCACAACAACTGCATTTTTAACTGATCAAGTACAACTTGCACATTAGGCACACTTATCAGACTGGGGATTTACATACAGGATGTTGAGTCTGTGAATTCCAAACTGGGCACGGAAAAAAGCGAAGGCGGAAAAAGCCACGAACCTTTCATCATTTTTCCCTATAAGCATTCCCACTCGTTCAATGTAATGCTATGTGTCCCACAGTAATAATTAAACTTTGAATTTCTAACTGATACTTCCCATAAAGCATCCTCCAACAGGTAACAGTTGTCTAGTATTTCACATATGATTTATTTGAAATACTTAGTACAATTCTTTTTGACTTACTAACAAGCATAAGACTATACAATCAGAACATATGTTCTTTGAAATTCATATTCACACATTATAAAGGCAACATCTGTGCTAGCAAAAGTAATCACATAATACACTTGTATGCCTAACACTTACCTCTTCAGAGAGCTCCCCAAATACTGTCAGAACATCTATCAGGAGACTTGCAGTATAAAAGGATTTTATCATGTTTCTGTAAAAGAGAAAATATTTCGCTAACTTGGTAATGTCAGTCTTCAGAATCATACTATTACAAGTTGTCATTTTTAGATCATACTGGCTTATTTCAAGCCAAATATCACTACTTTTTTTCTTTTAATCTGATGTTACAGAACCTGCTTCACAACATTTAAATCTAGCAATATATTGATTAGTATCCCAACTAGAGTGAAGAAAATGTTCAGTATGTTTCAAAACTGCTCATGTGTTCTGTACTTAGATTCTAGTTTGGAATGTTCCATGTAGGACATAGGAAGTCCTATATTAGTTTCAAAAAATACATCAACATGCCACAGTAATTGCTGTAAACCAAACCACATAATGGATCATCACAACTATTTCACTATCCCTCAGTAGAAACTATAACATGCTTGATGTAAATAAAGTGCACTATTAGCTTGTGGTTTTCGAAGGTTTGCCAGCAGGTTAACAGCCTCTTAAGGAACATAAGAAGGAGGATACCAGATAATGTGTGAAATTAGAGACATACAGGTAGCAACAAATCAAGTTTTCTAAAAGAGAAAAGAATGCATTAAAACCCAATTCTTGTTTCCATTCAAATTAAAGGGAGTTTGGATATTCACATTCCCTGACCAGTAGCTTAATTCAGATAAGAAAACCAAAGATTTTCACCTACTTATGAAATTGTCCAGCTCTGTCTTCATTGTCTGCGTATAAAAACATTTTCAAAGCATAATTCTCCACATGAGCAGAACCAACAATTTCCTGAGTAATTGCTTCATTATCACCAAATTGCTTTTTCATCTGAAAAGTGTTGGAAAAATACATCAATTACTTTATTAGACCCTAGCAATTCTGCAAACACAAAATGAACCTGCTGACTTAAACAAGGACAATACAATTCAAAAAGAAACAACATACACTTTGTTTTACAAATTTCCAGCTTCTAACATAACAAAATGCTAAAAGCAATGTGTGAAAGAGAAGGCACATTCTTTTGGAGAGAGAAACATTATGAAAAAGTAGCTCTGAATCTTCAAACACAAAATATTTATAGAAACCACAGAAAATCTCTGTCAAAGTTTAAAATAAACACAACTACTGTGAAGGAATAGCTACAGCTGTTTTTCCTTTTAGTATCCAAAAGACCAGGCACTCCGAAGCCTGTGTCAGGATTCAACACAATTCAATCAGTAAAGTAATCCATGCTTTATAAAGGTGCTGTAGATCAGAGTGATCATGTATAAAAAAAGCTCTTATAAAGCTTATTTAACTGCAGTTTATCATATGTGTGTGAGCCCTACCTTGACTGGTCTAGTGACCTATGGATTTACTGGAATTTTCAGTGTAAGCAGTGTATTTCAATTCAAGACCTCAGAGTACAAGAATCTTCAGGTTTCCTAATAAAAATCAGTAAAGCAAACAACCCTCTAACAGTTACAACAACAGGTGGATTTACAGCTTCTGAATAGGCTTACTGTTTGCACACAAGGAAATCTCAGGTTATCCTCAGAGAACAAAAACAGGAACACCGCATGATACTAACCTGCAGCCTTTATTTTGCCAAAAGATTTAAAAACAATCTCTGAATGGTAATTATTTTTCATTGTGCGTGTGAAGAAAATGTAATCATGCAGGCTGCATTTCCATATTTTTTAGACTGCTGCCAACTTTTTAAGACATAGAATGTTGCCAGAAGAGTTACTTGATTTCAATAGTGAAGTATAAGCTTTCCAAATAGAATTTTAAATTTAAAGACTTTTGTCAACAAGTACTCTAAGTGGTTTTTAAAAAGTATTTGTTAAACAAAGTGTAATTTTCTTGTGAGAATAGCATAATTTGTAAATTGAAAGACATGTAACTGAGACGAAACACAGAAGCTAACTCAGGAGAGAAGTTGTTTGCATACACATATATTTCCCAGTCTGTCTATATACCTCACACTCAGAAAATAACTATACTTGAATAACTATACTTGATCTGACGTTCAATGGAGATTATTTTAAACATACAAGTGACACTGTTACCTACAGTTCTAAAAATATTAAAGTTAAGTTATTTACTTTTGAAATTACCCATCACACAGTCCGTGATTCAATAAAGCAGTACTGGTGTTATAAATGCTGATTCAAAATTTGAACCTAAAACCCAAGCCACTTCAGTTTAACTTTACAAAAAAAAAAAAAAAAACACCACCTGAAATATTTAAATGAAACAGTCATGTACTGGGAAAGCAAAACAACACAATGTTATGCAAAAATACTTCTGACGGAAACATGCATTTTGGATACAAAATCACTGTGTTTAATTCACGTTTTTGGAATATTATGACATTTCTTGCAAAGAACAGATCTGGTAATTTCCATTCAACAGAGCTGGTAATTTCCAGCTATTTCTATGCTGTTTTATTCTTTGCTATTGTAAAGATCAGGATTATTTGCAAGCTTCTGTCTTAACCTCTAAAACACCCAACTGCAGTGCCAGTGAAAGCACAGACCTGTAGCGCTTCTCTGTGCCCCCTGGTGGTTAAGGGCACACTGAAAATGGCTGCTGTTACATTACTGCAGAGGTCCAACTTTTCCATAAACCCAAGCTTCCCAGCCCACAAAACTGCTGTACCAGATTTGCTTAGAGGTGCTCTCTCCGTCCTTCCACCACTTAGATACGTGGAAGAACCTTCAATGCCTGTGCATCAGTTGTCTCACAGACAATCTTACCAGCAACTGAAAGATGAAAGCATGGACATTTGCTGCTCTTCCAGTCTTTCCACCTCTGAAACAGAAGGGGTAACTGAATGCTCCAGACAGATTAACTGCTGCAGTACCACATGGGATCCAACAAATTTCAACAATCCTTAGGCAATGAAGAGCAAACTCTTCTGGAGTTTTAATCTCACCTCTCCTGCCACCTCTATCCCTTTTTGAACATGAAACCAGACCCATTGAAGGTGTCAAAATCTGATGAAATAACACACCAAGAAGTCGCTGTACGCTGAATTTTCCATTACTAAAGATCAGTGACAAAACATAGCAAGAAGCACAAGGTGTGAGAAAAAAACCCAAACAGTTCATGTTTCCTTTTTTTCCTGAAGAATCTTAGAATCATAAAATGGTTTGAGTTGGAAGGGACATAAAGGATCATCTAGTTCCAACTGTCCCTGCCATGGGTAGGGATGCCATTCACTAAATGAGGTTGCTCAGGCAGGACCCATACAACCTGGCCTTGAATACTTTCACAGATGAGGCATCCACCTTTCACAACTGAAGGCTGTTGTACTAGTTTTGCACAAACTCTTCAGGCACTGCTGTGGCTAGATTTCAGACAGAATTACTAATAGTAAACATACAAAGAACTGCTGCTTCATTTTTCAACATTATTTTCTGCTTCCAAATGAGCACTTAAACCTTAAAACCCACACACTTCTTCCTCTGAGAATACTGAAAACTACAAGGTATTAGTACAATAATATTGTTCTACAAGGTAGAACATAAACAGCTCCTAGAACTTAAACTGACCATTTGTACAATAACTTTACCTTTTTTAAATCTGTTCTATTTAAGGCTTTTTAATAGGATCAGATCCATTCAAAGAGCATGGCACGGCCATCTCTGACACAGATTAGACTGCGCTTACAAAAATTCATAGTATCAAATTTCCAACCTCTAACAGAGGATACGATCAGAAGTATCTTTATCTTTTACAGTTTAAAAAACTCCCTGGGTACAACGTTTTAGGTCAAAACTTTCAAAAGCATCCAAGGACTAGGCTAGTGAGTCCTAGTGAAAATAACGCTCACACACTTAAAGGAATCAAAGGCAAATACATTAAAAAGGTAATCTAGAACATCTGTATTTATTTCATAATGAATTATGATTTGTCATGAGAATATGTTCGGATAAAGTATTATAATTCATGTTGGCTACACAAAACCTTATGGTAAAATTTCAGTTATGTTTGTGCATGCATACATACACACATACTGCTCTACCTCTTCCTTTACCTTTTCAAATCCTTCTGCCAATTTATTACATACAACTTAAATTCATACAATGTGCCTGCATACAGAACAGTTGCATCAATGACTGATGTTGGAGAAGAGATCTTATTTGCAGAAGCTTAAATAAAAATTAAAGTAATATCATGAATCATTTTAAAGGAGAGCGATAAATTCTACTTACAGCTTCCAACTGATCCATAAGCTTGGATAAAAATTTTCGGCATTCTGGGGTTTTACTATCAATCTTCATCCCTGTTTGCATTGCATACAAACGGCCTTGAAATGATACAAAACACAAAAACAACAAAAGTGATTATCTAAGGCAAAACCCATTAGCAAACAAAGCAATGCCTCTCACACATCTGAAAGACAAACTCATGGTTTAACAGTGTAATGACATCAGTACTAGTGAGCAATGACAGTGAAATCCAGATATGCTTGGTCTTGCAGAGATACTAGGAGACATTTTTGTGAGACTTATGCTTTACTTCCCCCAATGACTACTCCCGCTGATTTCAAATTATCACTATTATGCAATATTAAGTGATTTTGTAAATTATCACTTCCCTTGCTTGCAATGCTCTCAAATAGGAATTTCAAGTCGATTTGAGAGTGTGTGTATATATCTCAAAAATGGAACTTCATGTAGTAGGAACCAGTTAGCTTTAAAACACCACTTTATTAAACGGAATTAAGCATCTATTATCTCCATGTACATAGCATCAAAAAACTCAAGACAAAAACCTGATCTTTAAAGCAGACAAGACAGGCTTTAATAAATTTTATCTGCAAGTAGATTTGTCAGTTTTTAATATGATCTTGAAAATGAACGATGACGAACACCTTCTGATTAAAAATTATCTTTTTACTACCAAAATCTGTGAATTTTAGATTTGCACATGGCAGAACTTTATAGGCTTCATGAAACTGTGGGCAAACCCAAACAACTGTTATTTAATAGGATTAACATGCACAGAGAAGGGAAAATAGACAGAAACATTCAGTAACCAAATACAGAACATCTTCCACAAAAAAGGCATTCCACTAACTCCCACTCTTGACCTCTAAGGCAGTCCTACAGGACACTTTCTGTGCTATGTAGACTTCATCAAGTGACTAAGCTAATGACTGATAGGTACTCTTAAGCCCACCTTATTTATCTTCAAGATGCTGACATTAATATTAAACATTATGAAACCAGCACACATAAAGTTGAAATTAGATTTCAAACAAATTCAAACACAGAAAGAGACAGAGATTTGTATCTAAGGCACTGAAATAAATAAAGTCTACCATCAATTAAAATACCATCATCACATGACAAGGAATTAATACTCAGTCTTCAATTAAATTGATTTTTAAGTAAATCCTTGACTGTAAGCTCCCCTGAACACATTTCATGGTATAATTTAATAATATAAAACTTAAGAATTAATATAAGGGTTGCTAAACCTATAAGCCATCAAGATCAGTAGTTTTCTTTTTGATGGATGGAAGTTTCAGATGTTTTCAGAAGCAAATAAATTAAGTTGAGACCAATAGCAATTAGGGCGACAAATTCAGAATACCCTTGGTCATTACTGGATATAGATTTATCTTATTTACTGAAGTATGCATCTTCAGATCTCTTCCATAACTCATTTACATAAAAAGAACTCTGATCCCATATAAATGGATCTTGCAAATGTCTTTAGTCTTGAGGATGTTTAATAATTAAAAGATGTCCTAATTTTTAACTGTTACTCTTGTGTTACCCATATGTGGCTTTTTTCACACTCTTTGCAAATACTTCCATTTAAATAGTGAAAGCAAGGTAATTTTTTTCCTCACTAATACCCAAAGGGGTGTATTTACAGGACTGTGCCATCTGTAGGCTTTGTAGGCAGCCCTGAAAAGCCAGCCCTTTCACCTCTTAGGATTTCAGAGGCTCAGAAAACCTTTAAGACTCCTTCAGGCACTCCAGTGAACAAATGCAGAAGAGCAAGTCTTGAACATACAGAAAACACAGGTCAGAGAACAATAGTTACAGTAAGAAACATGTTTTTCTTGTCCATATATAACTTTACACTGTGGCTGACATCAAGCAATGTTCCATACCAACACCACTTTCCTGCCAACAGAAGATTCTGGGACCAAAGTGCCCAAGAGTCCTTAGGTCATTCACGACTGAAGGTCTATCATCCAAAGCACAGACTGTCAAGAAAACATGAAGGTGCTCTAGCAACAGCAGTTCTACAGACACTAAGAACAGAGACATCCTACAGGCAATTGATGTCACCTGAGATAAATGTGTTCCATCCATCACAGTAATTACATCTCTGTACCACACAATCGACCATATGAGACAGTTACCACATTTAGCCACCAATTCCCAATTTGGATCAGTGCCCATATAAATTGTATAGGAGATTTCCTGAGAGATCTTATTAACTGGTAAAAGGTCAAAGCACACTTAAGTTACTGTAACAAGAGAGTCTACTGTGATCTTCAGGAACTTTTGAAGTCCAGACTTTTTGCATACTCACTTCTTCACATACACTTGAAAGGAGGACTACTGCATATCAAACCTGTCTAGACAGGTGTCTGATGAGGCAGTCACTGAGATAAAGGCAAAAGCTATTCCTTCTTTCTCAAGTAAGTGGTGATCAAGAAAGAGCAGGATGTCTGTGAAAACTACTGTTGACCGAGTATCACTACCTAGTAGCATTCCATACTAAAAGGTAGTCTTGACTCAGATATCACTGATAAAAGAACCTGATTGTAATGAAGGATAAGGCAACTTGCAGGTCAGAAAATGCAAACCATACCCTTCCAGTCAAAATCTCCACAATCATCAGTTTCAGTTGATGAACTGAAGATACAGAAGAAAAAGTACACTCTCCACAGTCTGAATCTCACCATTGCCAAACAAAATGTTGTTAAGTATGTTTAGGCATACTTACTGCTTTACTCAGCGCTGTTCTAGTCAAAAGTAGGGCTCTGGGATAGAAAACTTCTATCAACAATCACTAAACTTATCAAGCAAACAGCATGTAAAACAGCTGAAAAACTGAAAGAACTAGAGATTTCTAGAGACAGAAACAAAACAGGAAGACAAGGAAATAATTTGGTATTTAAAGACACCACTGAAATAAAAATAATATTTTTAATGTTTCAAAATTTTGCTTTTGAAATTATCTGTATGAAGAGCAATATGTGAGTGAATCTGAAAGCAATAAGCAGTAAGTAATTTCTTTTCAAATTCCTTCCCTTATTACCGACAACAGGAAAAAGTGTCTACTAGTTCTACGCTTTCCATTTTTGAGTATTATTACATTGTATTCCTAAGGCAAACAATTAAATTCCAAATGCAGGTTTTTCCACATCTGCATCTTTTGCCATTCTCTCTGCTCTCTCTAATTTTGAAACGTCCCAAGTGTAGGCTATCTGTAAGACTGTGTTGGTTTTGATACTACTACCTTTGCCAATTAAGGTGTTAGAAGTCTCTAGCATATCTTTTACTTTTGTGTGTACTTCATCACACAAGTATTACTTATAGTAAAGATACATAATAGTAACTGAAAAATACGTTTTCATCTAGTGAAGGAAATCTATTAATGCCCTTTTCCTGTCTAACTTGCAGCAAATGGGCAAACTGACTAAATTTTCAGCAACAATGAGCAAAATGTAACTTTCCAGTGTTAATATCGTCAGTCAAATTTTAAACTGGCAATTAATGGTTAAAGAACTGTCTGCCATGTGTATGTTGACAGGTAATCTCAGTAGCAAATAACTCATAAGCAAGAGGCTAGAAGTTTACTGCCTCCAACTCTCTGCTGAGAAAGTCGACAGTGACAGAGTTCAGTTGCCCCCTCCCCTCCATATCTAAAAGAAAAGAGAGTAATTATTTACATTCCTTTAAATACAGCTGTTTTGGTTCCTGTAATACTGCAAAAGCAGTGGCATGTATTATTACTGTGCTTGCTAAGTCACAAAACTTTTGCTTTAATGGAAGTAGTTCAACTTCTAACAAGTGGAAGTTAATCTCCCGAACAGTATGGACACCACAGAAAGAAATCCTCTTAGTGTTCTGTATTACGAATGCATTATTTTACCTTATAAAATACCATACTTGAGATGCCATTTTACATCAAAATTATTTCATAGAAAAAAAAAGTCCAAAGTGCATGCCCCTGATGACCGCAGTAATATACTGTAAAACTAAACAGCTAGACTTAAAGGGGCCATTTGCTTAGTAACATTTGATAAAAAAAATTCCTTTGTGAAAAGCCAAGCTTCTGGAAATGGGGACGTAAAAAGACAACTACAACCATACATTGTAGCTGCAAAAGTTTTCAAGTTTTTAAGCCTAAATGGAGTATATGAAGAAAGTAGACAATCTGGGAATTAAGGGACCTGTAATTCTCATCTCTCTTCACTATTTGTGATGAAGTTCTGGAATTCTTGTAAACAAACAGATGAATGAAATTATTCCTTCTTTTTGTTTTATGCTTTCACCTTAATAACAGACACAACTATTTTTTGCCCCCTTTATCGAAGTCAGGTAGCAAAAAAGACTTTAATGCAGCCAACAACAGTAGCATATGCATAAAGTAAAGCACTAACAAGGTAAAGGAGTTTACATAGAGCTAATGTCTAAATATTAATGAATATTATAAGTAGAGCTAAAGTCACTTGTAATTTTATACACAAAGAACTGTTTTGCCAATTATTAACTAAAAGAGAGCTTGCTCTCAGTTTGCAGACAGGACATTTATCTTCAAATTCATAAAGACTTGGCAAGTTATCATTCTCACAAAAATGTTTTGCTAAGACAACTACAAAATATACATCTTGACTTGTTGCCCTTAATCTTTGTTCAGTAAATACTAAGTGTGGGTGTGCTGGATGGAATTATACAGTGAGCTTTACAGAAACTTCTTTGCCTTCATTTATGTCACGTTATTTTTCCTTTGCTAACACCCAGTACAATTTCAGAGAAAGTATTTTGTCTTTCGTATGTGCCAGGCATTCATTCTCATACACATTAAGTTACTCGAGATTTATGTTTGGATAACAACTGAAACTCCCCTCACTCCCACTTTAAACTAACTCTGTGCCAAGTAAAAAATACTGGAGAACAAAAGTTCCAGCCAGCAAGCATGCACAAAACGCTGATTCTATGTTCTAAATTCTGTCCTCCTACCCATCTTTCTTTTTCCTGGCCTAACAGGATCAAAAGATTAAATTTTTTTTCCCTGTACATATTTAATTCTCTGGCATTCAAAAGGAAAAAT